TATGTGCGTCTCCTCCTCCGTCGTATACGGGTGGGCAACGCATCTGCAGTTGCGGATGTCTATGGGCAGCGGTCGCTTCGCCATTTTGGCGAATTCGGGTGGCCGCTTGCTCGTTTGCCACCGTATGTTATATAAAAAAAAAAAGACAGATGTAGAGCAACATAGGGAAAAAGACGCAGACTATTTACTTAACTACTTGTGTGTTTTTAATTTCACCCTGACGAAGTCGAAGCGAAGGCGAAAGCTAGCGATTTACATGAAAGTTGACGTTAAAATTCGTAGACCATACTTATGGTGTGTCTAAATAATTTAGATTAGTTTGACAATTAATTTCAAATTTAATAGGGATGGGTTGTGTAAACTCAGTCATGAATCTTATCGATTTTCGATTTTTATTCTTATAGAAGTTGGAATCGATAGATTTATAGTTATAACTTATTAATTAAAAAAAACACTGTTTTCTCAAATTAATAATGACCATAACAAATAATGAGAGTAAATAAATGTTTATGCCGTACGTAATCGAATTGGATTTCGCTATTATTTCTGTCATCGCTAAATTCTCTACACCATAATCAATACTATTATTGTCCTATAAATTAGTTAATAAGAAAATAATAATTTTGGTCGAGTTCGATAATTATTTAAACCGAATATCGATAGTTCCAAATTGTTCGCTGCGTGTTTGTTTCGTCACTGCGATACCTGTCTATTAAGTATGGCATTTGCCGTCATAGAAATTGAATTCGATACTTCATATACCTCATTTATCAAACTAATCTATTTTATTTAGACAAACTATAAAGCCTTCGTATAAACAAATTGTAGAACAGATAAGGAATCGATTCTAATACTCGAGCACTGAGTACTAAAAAACTTATTATTTATGTAAAACTTTAAGGGAGTTTTCTTAATTAATACAAATTCAAATTAAATAAGATTTAATACCTCTTCAGGTGTAGGTGTGTTCATTTCTAAGAATATTGTGTTGCATTTAATTTGCACAATTAGCAAAATGATGCACAACACTGAACAGCTGGCGGCCATGTTGCCGGACTGACAAAGACTGATCGCTCATACGCAGTCATTTGACCCTTGACTTGAGATAACGCTGAAGCGACACTGGTTGACGCCCTTTGATTCAATCTCCTGTTTCGCATACCGAAATTAAATAATATACCATACATTTTTCCATATTACAAACGATAATTATTACGCTTCTAAGATTGATAAACGCAGAGCTTTGAAGTTCAGATGATTCAAACGCCAAGACCCCATTTTCGTTATGAAAACTAGAATTGTAGACCCCTTTTACACTGACCGCGTGCGAAATGATGCCATTTCTCTTAGAAACAGCATCCTCGCGCGTTATTCGCGTTAGTGAAAAGAGATCTAGAGACGATTAAGCCGCTATATAGAGGCAGGTCCAGGATTAGTGATAGGAGATATAATTAGTGGACTCGACTGTTAAGAAGGGTATTATTTACCTTAACTGAGAACTTAACCTTTAAGAAAGATTTGACGATATTGAGATAGGGAAATGCATGCGCCATTCGGTTTCCGATATTCAAATGACAATTAAAAAAAAACGAACGTGTCAAATTGTTGTCCACTGTCAATCAATGACGTAAAACGACATTAAGTGTACGTGAATTGTTTTTGAATATTTACTTTACGAAACAACAAAACATTTGTTTTGAGTGCAATGACGTCGCACCCTAGCGGCAGCAGCCGCGCGGCCAGCGACATCGACGTGCGCCGCCTTTACAGCCTGTCCCTCTCGCAGATCAGGAAGCATTCAGAGCTCGGCAACTATCACTACAAGCCCGCGCCCTTCGTAACGTTATTTCTTTCAGTTCTTTAATGGTCACTAAGGAAGCCCTTAGTGTAGATTTAGTAACAGAATTGAAGTACTAAGGGTCTGCTGAACTAACCATAGACCACTTAAAGTTGAAATTTTTGACTTGTAATTAGTTTTTACATTTGCAAACTATTATCTAAGCTAAACTGTCAATGCCACTAAACATTTGGTTTAAGTTTTCACTAATAACAATAACCTTGCCCTAGATTTAATAAAAACAGAAGGTAAAAAGTAATTTCTAATCGCAGAACATTCGTTGGATCCACGGTTACAACGCCAAGGTGGGTGTGATTAACTTGAACGACGAGGGCAGCACTATCGCACTGTATGCTGCCGGCAACTGCGCAGTGCTCTACAACTGGACCACCAACGAGATGAGGATACTGCAAGGACATGTAACTCATCAGATTTATTCTTTTAATATGTTTTTTTTATTTCACTGATATTCCTTTTGCCATTCCAACTAAGCTTTTTAGGCTTTTTTAGGCTTGTGCTTATGCTTAATATGCTTTCCGACAATAGTCGAATGGCGGGATTTGAACCCTCGAGCAATTTGATGATCGGAAATACATATCTCTAATCATTAAGGCTATTGGCGCTTTTATATTAATAGTTATTGCAATAAATCTACTTAACCGAGTATAACTATTACTAATGTTGTCTATTTTATAATTCAGAAGCACGTAGTAACATGCATAGCTGCAGACAGCAAGGGCAAGTGGCTGGTGACGGCTGACTCAGGCCCAGAGAACGTACTCATAGTATGGGACAGTAGCGACAATTTCCCCGTCAAGACGCTCTTTTCCCCACACGGGGGCACCAACATCGCAAAGATTACCCTCAGTCCAGACGCCAAATATCTCCTTACCATAGGTTATAGGGAGAAGGCGGTCGTCTATTGGTGGATATGGTCTTTCGGGAATGATGAACCACATGGTAACCTTTTGTCATAAAATATAAAGACATAGTTATTATAGATCAATTATTCCTAAAGAAAGAAATATAACAGCTCAACTACGTAAGCTTCATCGAAATCAATTTCAAAGTCTACGAAACAAAAACATCTGCTATAGAATTAAGTCTGATTAATTTTGGTACTCTGTAACTAATTAGTAAACAATGTAGCTACTCTGGAACTAACCATGCCTCGCGGTGCGATCCTGGATATGGCTTTCAACCCGATACACACAGAACAGTTTGTGCTGATGACCAAACACGATATATGGATTGGCGTTTCTAGGGTTAGCACTATTTTACGTTACAGCTAAAAATGTATAAGAGGGTTTACGTATTCAGTAACTCTATCTACTAGCAGTAGTAAATGCATAATTATGACTAAATTAAACGTCCGATAAGAGACGAGACTTCTTGACTTTTATGTTCCAGAAAGTATTTGTCACAGAGCGAGGAGTGGTAAAAGATACAAACACGTACGAGTTGGTAATACTAACTGTAGAAAGGAAGCAAAACTCAGAGTTTGGCAAGTTAACTTGCTTCACACACGTGAGGGAGACGTGTCAGATACTCGCGGGAACCAACCGCGGCTATGCGCTGGTGTACGGCTACACTTCTGAGTTTAACGCTACTATACAAGATGCGAAAGATATTGAGGATATGAAGTTTGTCAAGGGTCTGAAGATACAACAATGTAGGATAGAAGTCATTAAAAATATCGACGGGTGTGTTATTTCATTGCAATTTCAGATAAGACCTAACTGACATATTCTTTGATTATTTTAGTATTCTCTTTACGCGGCACTTCATACTATAAGCTTTAGTTATGGAATTGTCATTCTATTATTATTTCAGAGTAATTGCGACAGGCAATAGCGAGGGCGCGATCCATTTCTATGACCCGCAGCTAAAGCTGTTGTACTGGGTGCATGGCTTCACCGTCGATAAGGTGACTGGTCTCAGCTTCAACGTCTCGCCCAGGAGCTACCAAATATTCGACCCCAAATGCAAGTAGTCGCGAAACAGTTCCATATCATGTAGCTCAATGCACTCGAAACTTCTTCGTCAAACTTTTCAGATATTAAAAAAATACCCTTGGAGTTGACTATCTAGGTTGCCACATGCTGGTCGATTTTCAAGCAGATCTAATTTTTCAGGCAATAAACAATGCCTATGCTGGGAGAAGGTGGTGCTCAAGATGGACCCAGTGACGGGCGTCAGGCAGCAGAAACTGATGAAGAGCAAGCTGCCCTCGGACGCAACCGTCCCCAACAAGCCCTTCGTCGTTAGAGATTTTATCGTGTGTACAAAGAACCAGGGTGTCGGCTTTGTGGACTTCGTGGCGGAGAACAATCACACTATCTTGGACAACAAGACGTCACCAGCACTCGCTATGACTGTGCATCCTGAGAAGTAAGAGAAAGGGAGGAAAAGAAAGAGGGATATTGACTACTTTCCCTCTCATACCATGGAAAGCTATTCGTAAATTCTTTTACGTTGATAAACTGCTAATCATTATACCGCTCTTGATGCTGCGACCTACCCACCCTCTTGTATTCCGTCAATTAATTCGCTAAAGCGTATAGAACTAAGAGTTCACACTTTTTCTAAAGGCCGTACGTATGCGTGGGCTACGCTGATGGCACTCTGGAGCTTTACAACTTCGTGCGGCATATGCTGTTCGCGCGGCTACCTCTGCGGGAGCGGTACAAGGTGGTGACAGAGCCTGCCGATGACTCGATCAGCTGCCTTGTTGACGTCTTCTATCCCCAGCTCTCTGTTACCTGTCTTAAGTACTCTCCCAATGGTAAAGTTGTAAAAAGACTTTACGAGTGTTATATAAAATGTGTATACGAATTGATAATTGAATTGTTATATGATTTAATAGCAATTTTTCGCAGGTTTGCATCTGGCTTGCGGTCTCAACACTGGACAATTAATATTCTTAGACCCAACAACGATTGAAATAAGATCTGACAAACCGTTTCAAGACACCCGATTCTCAATTAAGGAGATATCCTTCAGCCTCGATTCTCGGTCTCTTGCCTTTTTTGTATGTATTCATTTGTTTATTTTGCACACGCCCTAGTTGTGATCATATTCACAAAAAAGAGACGTAGTCCCATTCTCTGATTTTTGAGGATTAGCGCAGACAGTAAAGAAATTTCTTTAAACACTACTTTTAATACTTCAATTATGTATGTATTTATTTGAAGGACGCGGGTAGAACGGTCTGCCTGTACAAGTATGATTGCGCGTCGCTGAGCTGGCAGTTCATAGCAAAGCATCGGGCGCACTACAAAGACGTGACGGCGGTCTTCTTCCTTCCCGAGAAGAACGAGAGCGGCGACTACAAGCTGATGTCGATGGGCGCGGATCGCACGCTCGTCGAGTATGACATTGGCGCCAGCTCCGAAGAATACCTCGAGATACTCAGCCTGGACAGGATCGAACAAAGCGCCATCCCTCTGGCCGGCATCCCCTGGCCCTCGCCCAAAGACATCGACCCTGAGACTTGTCGCACTGACATGCCTATGATTCTGATCGCTAATGATGAAGTATGCTAATGGTCTTTTAATTTTAATATGATCCTAGTTTATAGTGAAACTGCATAAAAGCCTAGCCTAGCATAAAAACTAGCAAACTCAGATTTTGCCAATCTAAATACAACAATTGATGTATATTTCATTAGTTTAAATACAAGATAATAAACTACAAGACGACGATGACGCTGGCGACGGTCCTGGGACCGCGGTTCGAGCACCCGGTGCGCCGGCTCCAGTTGGTGACGCGCACTGACGATGATGAGGGCGCACAGTACCTACTCTTCGCCACCAAGACCGTCGTCGGTTTGCAGAAGATGCCGCTTGACGGCAATCCTTGGAGACACATCGGGCTATTGGGGCATCCCATAGAGGTTTGTCTATCTGTTAAGTTGCCAATCATCGAAATCTGCGAAAAATTATAGAATTATTTGTTATAGTTGATAGAAGTATGTTATCGAGAAGACGTTGGCATTTTATTTACTATCGGAGCTAAGGATAGCTGCATGACGCAATGGGCAGCTAATTACAGGTATGTACACTCATTTAATTATTCCTCTTGTGGACGCTAGAAAACACCAGGTACTCGTAAATCTGAAAAGTCGCTTAATTTTGTGTTGTCTATTTCTTTATGATAATTTCCAGAGCCATAGACACGACAACAAAACAAGGTGGAACCGACTTGGATCCTTATTACTGTCTGATAGAGAACGGCCGGCCGGGCTGGCTGTTCCACGAAATCCGAGACCTCTTCTACTACATTCAGATTTTGTGCCAGGGCACCTTCTCTCCGTCCATTAGGACTGTGAAAGACTTCATCCCGATCGAAACACTGCCCGACATGATGAGGGCTTTGGGATTCTTTCCTTCTGAATATGAAGTGAGTGTTTTTATATTTATGGGCGTAGTGCGAAGTACAGAGACTGTTGATTCTATAAGCTACATTCACTGCTATAGTCAGTCAATTGTATTTGTTTATTGTAGGTCGAAAATCTGATAGTAGAGGCGAAGTACAAAGTATATCAACGTCAACCTTCAACTGAGATCGATTTCGAGGAGTTTGTGAAGCTGTATTTAAACCACCGTCCCGCGTTTCTAGAAAGTGCCAGATATATCAAGAATGCGTTCAAACATTTCGCCAACCCGATAGACGGCGCTTATGTGATGTCCAGAAATCAATTTATTAATATGCTTAGTGATTATGGTAAACAGATACATAAATTGGTAATGTATTCCTGTGTATTTTTTATGCTGAGTGTTCAAATTTTACGTACATCTCCAGGTGAACGATTCCCTCGGGAACTATCCTCGTACCTGTTGTCTATTCTGTGTTGCCACAGTTTCGAGGATCGATGTGCAATGTATGAGTCAGATTTTCATTTCTTACCAGAAGTAAGTATTTTACAATTCAATTTAACACATTTTTTATGTTTGGGGAGGAAATATGGTACAGTCGGGGAAACTGACGGTGTTCCACTTTAAAAGTTACGATCGTTTGAACAATTACAAGAATGGACGGTTAATGATACACGGTTAGTTTCTTTTTTGACAGACTTCCCAAAAGAAGGAGGTACTCAATTCGTCTGTATGTTTGTTTATTGTTGTTATTTTCCCTTCTTTGCATCTCTGACTACTATCTAATTAGCTATTTGAAGGAGGAGACGGAGTATCTCTTGTTGCAACATTAAAAACTGTGACCCCCAAAAAGTCTGTACCCTAGGTCCACTAATTGCTAAAACTGAAATGAAGTATCTCTTCGTGAGCCCCGCTTACAATCTAATAGACGTTAAAATTTCTAAGACATTTAGAGATTAAGCTTGGCCTTATCATGTAAGACGATTTTAAATGTATATTTTCAGACAATTAATTTGAGCGAGTTGCTGTGTAATATTATCGGCGTTTCTGACTACGACAACCTATCAGAGTCCTATTACAAGGGCTCGGGCAGCTCCATGCGCAGCGCCTCCACAGACTCCGACAACTATTCACCTGTGTGACAGTCCACTGCTAGCTGCTAGATATAGGCCTTCACTAGCGTGGGCTATATCAGGGGTGGCGAACCAGTGGCACGCGTGCACAAGACATATTTTGGGCACGTCGATAATTATAAAAACATTACGAAATTATGAAGTAGATGCAAAATGGATTTGACGTAATAATTGCAGTCAAAACTTTTCCATGGTATATTCAAGACCGCATTAAACATTTCTTTATAAAAATAGCACTTTGATGTATGTTTGTCACCCCTGGACTATATCTATTCACGTCAACCGCTTAAATATTTTTTTAATGTAAAAATCAGGATGTCAAAGGAACCATGTCTGATAATTTGAAATAAAAATGTTTTTAATTTTATACGTGTTTTAATATTCAAATCGAATATAGTTCTTATTTACAGTAATATTTCACAGATAATTTTAAAATTACAATGTCGCACAAAATTAAAACTAAAATTTAAAATTAGTTAAAATAGAAAATAAATAACAAAGATTACTATTATATATTATTTCTCATTAGTTTGAGAGCATTTTATGAAACAATCTTACTATCGCACTCAGTCGTTAATCAGCCAGCTAGAACGACGCTTAGTGTACATTTCTCACATTATTAAACAACTTTGTGCACCAAATTACACCAAACTGAGCTACACCAGTTACTATCATACTATATTTTGTCTAAATAAAATTAATTAGTTTGATAAATGATGTAATAAGGCAAATATAGGGTATCACAGTGACGGAACAAACATGCATAGTGAACAACTATAAACTATCAATATTCGTTTTAAATAAAATTCAATCAAGTTAAATAAAATTAACTAATTTACGGGACCATTCTAGTAATGAAAATATAGCGATGACAATAAAAATAGTAAAATCCAAATCAATCATATCCAACCGCAGTAGTAATAAATATTTATTAACTCATTTTTTATTTTAGTTCTGTAGGTCATTATTGATATGAGAAAATAATGTTTTTTATTTAAATCCATAAGTTAAAAATACGAGTCTCTCGATTCCAACTTCTATGAGCGAATAGATTCACACCTGATTTAACACATCCCTACTAAATTGTCAAACTAATCACCTTTATTTAGACAAACTATAAAGTGCAATTCATTAATTTCTGACACTTCTAAAATATATTCACAATACAAAGTTCATACTTGTCATACATTCACATATCACAAGTAGTAATTTGTCTAAAATAGCTATATAAAAATCTCATACACGGTGTAACTCTCATTGGCTGAATTGATACATACATTGCTAAAACATGCATAAAACTCATTGATTTCATTATTTTGTGCTGACAATGCGTTAACAGTAGACATCTACAATTCAGGGGTTGAAAAAAAACCAACTTCACTGCATATTTAGTTACAAACTAAGCATGCTATTGTAGTATATTAATCAGCTTCAATTTGATATTTATTGGGTTTCTTTTTGACCGACTTCCCAAAAGAAGGAGGTACTCAATTCGTCTGTATGTTTTTACAACTCAATTATGGTAAGTTGACAATCTTGTGGGTGGCAGACTTAATTGACTATAACATATATTACATGCAAATCTTAATATAAATAGAATTTGCATTGTTACTATGTATATCTGTTAACTAAACTGTAATTTTTCTGATAAATTAAAATATCTTGATAACTGGGGACATTTTACATTCTTATAGATAACTGAGTGTTTGCTCATATTATACTATTCCATTCAGGATAATTTAAAAAAAAACCAATATAATCTGCAATTTTAGCAACTATAGATATAAAGGTGTCAATTCTTTACAACCGGAATTTAAAAGTATAAAAACAACAATTAAACTAAATTAGCTATCCAGACCTTATTTTGTTATAAACTAACAATCATAACCACAGATCTCATTTAAAAACTCATAGAGTTTGCTTTCATTTTCTC